CCTCATCCCTCCACACACACACCTCATCCCCCCCCACACCGCCCCCTTTCCTCTGTAGCTTATCTGCTGGCCACCCAGTCCTCTCCATGCAGGGGTGTGTGTGTGTGTGTGTGTGTGTGTGCGTGCATGTGTGTGTGTGTGTGTATGTGTGTGTGTGTGTGCGTGCAGGTGTGGACATGCAGTTCAGGCATTGACTCACTTTTCTTCAGCTTGATTTTCAAACACATGGTCATTGTGAAGGCCAAACTTGGGCAGAATTTCACCATGGAGATTCAGAAGTTCAAGGATGAAAGTGAAGACTACTTGGCACACATGTGGCACCGCCTAGCCGTGAACTCCAAGAGCATCCTGGGAGAGCTCACCTGCTACCAAAACGCCATCCAGGCCCTGCAGGTCTGTGCTCGTCCATGCTGGCCATGAGCGGCTGGGGCAGCCGGCCCTGGACAGGGCAGGGCAGACGTGCTGATCCAGGCAGAGAGGGGACTCACTGGGGTCAGGGGCTGGCCGGGCCAGGAGAGCCTGGGCAAAGGCACAAGGCAGCCGAGCCCCAAGAAGAGCCTGTGGGCATGCCCCCATGGTGACTGTGGGTGACAGGAGCCAATGGATCACTTGGTGCCCTGGGAGGATTGGTGCTGGCCCTCAGGCGCTGCCCTGGTCAGTGAAGTGCCATCACAGTGCCTTTCTGGTGTATTCCATTAGAGGCCAGAGAGCAACCAGCAGAAGGTGGACTACATCCTGGAGTTCAGCGAGTGGCTGTACCTCAGGCAGTTTCCTCTTGAAGAAATCATCGCCAAACTCACGTGGGCAATTGGGCTCTTGCTGGCCATGACGTCTACCCAAGACACATCAGAGCCGGAGCCGGAGTCGGAAAGTGAGGCCCAGCACCCCCACCCCAACTCCATACCCCACGGAGGCCCACGGGCCTGGTCCACCATGCCCTGCGGGTGCCACGGACCTGGTCACCACGCCCTGCGGGTGCCACGGACCTGGTCACCACACCCTGCGGGTGCCACAGACCTGGTCCACCACACCCTGCGGGTGCCACAGACCTGGTCCACCACGCCCTGCGGGTGCCACGGACCTGGTCCACCACGCCCTGCGGGTGCCACGGACCTGGTCACCACGCCCTGCGGGTGCCACAGACCTGGTCCACCACGCCCTGCGGGTGCCACGGACCTGGTCACCACACCCTGCGGGTACCACGGGCCTGGTCCACCACGCCCTGCGGGTGCCACGGGCCTGGTCACCACGCCCTGCGGGTACCACGGGCCTGGTCCACCACACCCTGCGGGTGCCACGGGCCTGGTCACCACACCCTGCGGGTGCCACGGACCTGGTCACCACGCCCTGCGGGTGCCACGGACCTGGTCCACCACGCCCTGCGGGTGCCACAGACCTGGTCCACCACACCCTGCGGGTACCACGGGCCTGGTCCACCACGCCCTGCGGGTGCCACGGACCTGGTCACCACGCCCTGCGAGTGCCACGGGCCTGGTCACCACGCCCTGCGGGAGCCACGGGCCTGGTCACCACGCCCTGCGGGTGCCACGGGCCTGGTCACCACGCCCTGCGGGTGCCACGGACCTGGTCCACCACGCCCTGCGGGTGCCACAGACCTGGTCCACCATGCCCTGCGGGTGCCACAGACCTGGTCCACCACGCCCTGCGAGTGCCACAGACCTGGTCCACCATGCCCTGTGGGTGCCACGGACCTGGTCCACCACGCCCTGCGGGTGCCACGGACCTGGTCACCACACCCTGCGGGTACCACGGGCCTGGTCCACCATGCCCTGCGGGTGCCACGGGCCTGGTCACCACGCCCTGCGGGTGCCACGGACCTCGTCACCACGCCCTGCAGGTGCCACAGACCTGGTCCACCACGCCCTGCGGGTACCACAGGCCTGGTCCACCACACCCTGCGGGTGCTACAGACCTGGTCCACCACACCCTGCGGGTGCCACAGACCTGGTCCACCATGCCCTGCGGGTGCCACAGACCTGGTCCACCACGCCCTGTGGGTGCCACAGACCTGGTCCACCACGCCCTGCGGGTGCCACAGACCTGGTCCACCACACCCTGCGGGTGCCACGGACCTGGTCACCACGCCCTGCGGGTACCACGGGCCTGGTCCACCACGCCCTGCGGGTGCCACAGACCTGGTCACCACGCCCTGCGGGTGCCACGGGCCTGGTCACCACGCCCTGCGGGTGCCACGGGCCTGGTCACCACGCCCTGCGGGTGCCACAGACCTGGTCCACCACGCCCTGCGGGTGCCATGGGCCTGGTCACCACGCCCTGCGGGTACCATGGGCCTGGTCCACCACACCCTGCGGGTGCCACAGACCTGGTCACCATGCCCTGTGGGTACCATGGGCCTGGTCCACCACACCCTGCGGGTGCCACAGACCTGGTCCACCATGCCCTGCAGGTGCCATGGGCCTGGTCACCACGCCCTGCGGGTACCATGGGCCTGGTCCACCACACCCTGCGGGTGCCACAGACCTGGTCCACCATGCCCTTCAGGTGCCATGGGCCTGGTCACCACGCCCTGCGGGTACCATGGGCCTGGTCCACCACACCCTGCGGGTGCCACAGACCTGGTCCACCACACCCTGTGGGTGCTATGGGCCTGGTCACCACGCCCTGCGGGTACCACGGGCCTGGTCATCGCAATCCTGGCCCGTGGCCTTGTAAACAATAAAGTGTGCTCCCAGCAGAAGCTGGGACACTGGGAAGGTTCCGGCCAGCCAGCCCCCACCCACCAGGGTGGCCGGCTGCAGGCACCTTGGGCTGAGCAGCAAGCCAGGTTGCTGGGGCCTGCTGCTGCGTCCTGAGCATGGGGCCACCGGGACCTCGTGAAAGGAGAGGCTGGCGGGAGGCTGGGGCCTCCCTGAGACAGTCACCCTGGGCCTCAAAGGCGGCCCCTGCCTCAGCACAGCCCTGGGGACCCCAAAGGACAGCACACCCTGGGGAGTGCAGATGACCATGGCTCCCACAGCCTTCCTGCAGGTCCACCCACAGTGACCGTGGCTCCCACAACCATCCTGCAGGTCCACCCACAGTGACCGTGGCTCCCACGGCCATCCCACAGATCTACCCACAGTGACCGTGGCTCCCATGGCCATCCCGCAGGTCCACCCACAGTGACCGTGGCTCCCACGGCCATCCTGCAGGTCCACCCACAGTGACCGTGGCTCCCACAGCCTTCCTGCAGGTCCACCCACAGTGACCGTGGCTCCCACGGCCATCCTGCAGGTCCACCCACAGTGACCGTGGCTCCCACGGCCATCCTGCAGGTCCA